AGCAGGATGTCTGCAGAGGTTATTGTGGTTGGTAGTTACCTCTTTCTTGTAAATGCCAGGTTTGTACACAAAAGGTGTGACAGAGTTAGTTTGCAAACATGTAAAAAAAAATATATTTCTATTTTCTTAATTAAAAACTTGTGAAACCTGTGTCTGGTCTAGGGGATGGAATAGAGAGCATTTGTCATGTGAACCTCCAACACCCCCCTACTCCCCTCCAGCTGAGTATAAAGTTCAAAAGTCTTACAAAATCTTTGTTCAGAGGAAGAATTCTTAGATGAGCCACCTCTGAATCCTGTGGTCAATAAACCTGATTCCTGAAAATTCCTCATTATCTAGCTTCTTCTGTCCCACTTCATCAGAACTAAAATAAAAGGCCAAAAAACATCATTTTATTCAACCTCACCTGGGGAAACTCAAATTTTGTGTTATTCTACGGATGACCAAGAGTGACCACAGATAACTATGAATATTCATTTTGAGGTTACTAATAAACCTAAGTGAAGGATTGAGTTCACAATTACATAATTTGTGAATAATAACAATTTTTTGTATTTGAAAGCTCTATTTTCTAGTGCATACCTGTTTATGTTTGTTATATATATCCTGTTGAAAGGATCATTTTATCATTCTAGGTTGTTACTTGTCAACTTTTATCATGCTTTCTTACCTTATAATCTACTTTTCTCTATACTAATATAACCACATCAACTTTCTTTTGGAAAATGATTAAATGACAGTTTTTTTATCCTTTTAATTTCAATCTACCTATTTCTTTTTTTTAAAGCTTTTTTTTTAACACAATACCTTTATTTTGTTTGTTTATTTATTTTTATGTGGCGTTGAGGACCGAACCCAGGGCCTCACACATGCTAGGCGAGCGCTCTACCGCTGAGCCACAGCCTCAGCCCCCTATTTCTTTTTATATAAAATGTTTTCTTTGTTGTTGCTTTTGTGCTGATTATTTTTCCTTAAATCAGATTTTTTGGTGTAGAGATTAGCAAATTTTCCTATAAATTATCAGGTAGTAAATATTTTCACTATCAACAATTGCAAGTCTCTGATGGTATTTTACATCTTCTGACTATAAAAAATAATTTAAAATGCCAAAATATTACTAACATCTATTGGTAGTTCATGTTTATGACTTAAAAATATATACACATGAATTATTATGTTTTTACTAATCGAGTAACTTCAAAGAATGAGATAATATCAAATTCAGAATAGACTTTGTTTATAGTCATTTTAACCTCTTTATAGTAAATATAATAAGAATCATTTTTATGAGTATTTTCTATGTCTGTTTCTAATTCTGGACCTTACAGATGAAACAAAATGTGTTGTTCCAGGCCTCAGTGTCATTCCGCGACGTGACTGTGGAACTCACCCAGGAGGAGTGGCAGCACATGGGTCCTGCTCAGAGGACCCTGTACAGAGAGGTGATGCTGGAGAACTACAGCCACCTTGTCTCTCTGGGTGAGCATATAAGCCTAACTTACCCTCGCAATGCCGGGAGAAGGCACTTCCTTTTTACTTACCATCATGTATGAACACCTAGCAAGTTTCATGTTATTTAGGATTTTCATTCAAGAATCCAAAGTAACTGAACTTTTAAGAGTACCACAGAGAATGTGTTGTCAGCTTTCAGTGATAAATTCAAATGTCACTTTGAGGATTCTGCTCCTGAAGCTATACCTTCTTCCACTTTTGGAAAACAGAATGCTCATGTATCTGGCCTAAGCCCTCAATTGTTCCATATTCATAGGGTACTGCATTTTCAAACCAGAGGTGGTCCTCAAGTTGGAGCAAGGAGAAGTACCTTGGTTCTCAGAGGAGGAAAGTTCAAACCAAAATGACCCAGGTGAGTTACTGAACAGATCTGTTTGCAGTAGTTATACTCCAGACGGTCAGTTTACAAGTGAACACCTTTGTATCATGAAACTTTTATTAAAAGATCAAAGTTGTAAAAACAATCAAAAGGAAATGATTAATAAATCTGACTCCATTAAAGTTTAAAACTTCGTTTTAAAATATATTTTTTAAAAGGGTAAAAGACCACAGAATAGCAGAATTGGAATATAGTGAAAGTAACCTAGACAGAGTAAGCTTCCTGAAAATGTAAAGGATTTCCATAAATCAATGTGAGAAGAGGGAGACAACACAATTGAAAAATGGGCATAAGGACTAGGGCAGGGGCTCAGCGGTAGCACACTTGCCTGACATATTTAGGCATTGGGTTCAATTCTCAGCACCTCATATAAATAAATAATATAAAAGGTCTATCAACAATTAAATATATATATATATATATATTAAGAAAAATGTGCATAAGACTTTTAACAGAAAATATTTATTTTAGATTTATTTATTTATTTATTTATTTATGGTGGTGCTGGGGATTGAACCCAGGGCCTTGTGCATTAGCGGCAAGTACTCTACCAACTGAGCTACATCCCCAGCTCAGAACAGGAAATTTTTAAAGGGTCAGTAAATCTGAAAATTTATCACATTATTTTTTATAGACTGCAAAGTGAAATAAGAGATGTAAGATAAGATTGCCAAATCTGGCTATACCAAGTCCTGGTGGGGATATGAATTATGAGAGACCAGTATTCATAGATTGGAAGTGTAAACTTGTAAAATTATTGTGAAGTCAGGAACATGCCACCTAGTCTGGTTATGTTTTGCTTACATTATAAGCAAGCAAGCCCTTTGATCTCTGTATACCCTACCAAATGTATAATTGTATTCTCTAGTATATGTAATAATATTAATGGGAGTATTGTTTATATTTGCTGAAATTTGGCTGATTAGCCACCAGGTGGAGAAATAGCTGTATTTTTTAAGGAAAAATTATGTAGCCACATGAAATTCTGTGCAATGATTATAAAGATTAACCCAACAAATTATCAATACATACATATCACTGTAATGTTACACATGAAAGTTTCATGCACTTATGTATTATTCCATGCCATGTTAGCTTTTTTTGCTTTGACCAAAATATCTGATATGAACAACCTAAGGACAGATTTATTTTGGCTCAGTTTCAGAGGTTGACAGACTGCATTGCTGTGGGCCTGAGGTGAAGCAGAACATCAGGGTGGAAGGGTCTGGCAGAAGCAAAGCTGTTCACCTCATGGCAGCTGGGAAGGAAATCAGAGAGTGGAATGAGCTAAGTTTTAAGAAATACCCCTCTAGGGCTTAGCCCAGTGACTTACTGCCTATGGTTTCCACCACCTCTCAGTAGTCCATTCAGCTACCAGTGAGTTAATCCCCTGATGAGATCAGAGCATTTATGATCTGATCACTCCCCCAAAGCCCCTACCTTTGAACATTTCTCTGTTGGGAAGCAAGCCTTCAACATATGAGCCTTGGGGGAAATTCCAGTCTAACCTATGATACTTAGTTTTAATGGGTGGAACATAAGTGACAAGTTACATATTTTGCAATATAAATTATCAAGACAATCATTTAGAATACATAAAAAATCTGGACCTTTCTTATGATTTCTCTTCCATGATTTCTCATTTAAAATTGAACTCGTGTGTCACATTGAAATGTGGAAACTCAGGATGGAGTCAACTTCGCTTATTGTTGTGTTATGACAAAATTAATAAAAGATGAGAGCCAAAATGGAACTGTGAATCTAATTAAGTTGCAAGAATGGATTTTCTTTTAATCAATTTATATATTGCAGGGCTAGGGCTGTAGCTCAGTGGTAGAGGGCCTACCTAGCATATTTGAACCTCAGCACCACATAAAAATAAATAAAGGTCTTGTGTCTATCTATAATTTTAAAAAATTACATATATACACACACACATATATAATTCATATATTGCTTGTATTTCTGTGAATCATAACTGTAAGATAGCTAAAAACTTTTTCATAATCGTATGGAAATTGGTGCTGTTATACATTTACTATTGAAAAGTTGATGGAAATGAGTGATATCCAATTGGAAGAATTTAAACAATATAGTTCATTGTAGTCTAGGTAATATCTGCACCTAGCCTGCAATTTACTTCCCAAACCAAACTTTTTCCATATTGAGTCTATTTCATGTATATTATCCCAATTTTTAATACTCTACTGAAGTTTATAGTCTTTGTTGTATTCATTCTATTCTCCACTTTTTCTGAAGCCTAGTAACCACCCCTGTGAGACTATTTTCTATTTCCTTTCCTTTCTTTTATGTACTTAGGAAATACTCATTTACTACAAATAGTATTCGTAAACAGTTTCCTCTCCCGTTTGCTCTATATTAATATTATTGTTAAAAGGAGAGTTGGTTGCACATACACATATATTTGAATTATTAGGTTTTGAGAACTCAATAAAACAGACTATGTGCATAAATCCTACTCATAAGAAGTATTTACTTCATGTGTTCAATTTTTCTTGTTTTAGAAAATTACAAAGTTGATGACTTGATCAAGAGGAACAAGAAAATCAAAGACAAACACTTAAAACAGATAATATTCATCAAAAGTAAAACATTGACTAGAGAGAGAGAGGAAATTTGGGAGAAACCATTTACCCAGCATACAGCTCCAATTTGTTCAGCAAAACTGTCCTGCAGATGTAAATCATGGGGAGTGAATTTTCAAAATATTTCTGAATTTGTCCAAAATAATAAAAACTGTTCAACAAAGAAAACAGATTGCCATAATGTATGTGAGAATTTGCCTTTCAAAATTAAGTTTGGCAGAACTCATACTGGAGAGAACTTTTATGAATACAATAAAAACATGCAAGCCTTCAGTTATAAGGAAACTCTTGATCATAAGAAGTTTCAAACATTGGAGCAAGATCTTGAAGGTAATAAGATGGGAAAAACCTGTGAGAAAGCTGACTTTGTTACACATAAGAGTTTTCACAAAGAAGAAAATTCCTGTAAAGGTGGTGGTGAATGTAGGAAAAACCTTCATAAGATAACTCTTTTTGACCATAGACAAATTAACACCAGGGAGAAACCCCTATGTCTTCACCAGTGTGGAAAGTCTTCCTTTGAGAAGTCAGCCCTGGAGGAACACAATAAATTTAACACTGCTATGAAATATCATGAACCTAATGCCCTTAGACATTATTTCAGCAAGCAGTCAAACCTCATTCAGCCTCAGAGAACTGTCGCAGGAGAGAATCCATCAGTATGTATCGACAGAATACACACTGGGGATAAATCCTTTGAATATGAAAATAAGAGGTCTTATCAGACACTAACCTGCAAAGTAAAGCAGAGAACTCACTCTGACATGAAACCCTATAGATGTAGTGAATGTGGGAAATCCTTTTGTCAGAAAGGCCATCTCATTCAGCACCAGAGAACTCACACAGGAGAGAAACCATTTGAATGTAATGAATGTGGAAAAACTTTCTCCCAAAAGTCCCACCTCAATACACATCAAAGAATTCACACAGCAGAGAAACCCTATAAGTGTAATGAATGTGGGAAGACATTTGTCCAAAAGTCAACCCTCAGGGGACATCTGAGAATCCACACAGGAGAGAAACCCTATGAATGTATTGAGTGTGGGAAAACTTTTGTTCAGAAGTCGACCCTCAGAGATCATCACAGAATTCACACAGGGGAGAAATCCTTTCATTGTAATGAATGTGGAAAAACTTTTGGCCAGAAATCTAACCTTAGAATACATCAAAGAACTCATAGTGGGGAGAAGACATACCAGTGTAATGAATGTGAAAAATCCTTCTGGCGCAAAGATCATCTCATTCAACATCAGAAAACTCACACAGGAGAGAAACCATTTCAGTGTAATGAGTGTGGGAAAACCTTTGCCCGGACATCAACCCTCAGAGTGCATCAGAGAATTCATACTGGGGAGAAACCATTTAAATGTAATGAGTGTGGGAAAAAGTTTGTACGGAAAGCAATCCTTTGTGATCATCAGAGAATTCATACAGGGGAGAAACCCTTTCAGTGTAATAAATGTGGGAAGACGTTTGGGCAGAAATCAAACCTCAGAATACATCAGAGAATTCACAGTGGGGAGAAAGCTTATGAGTGCAGTGAGTATGGGAAAGTGTATAAGTCAACTCTATGTCAGAGAACTCAGGGAGGAAGGAAACTCTATTGATAACTATGGAAAATATTTCTGACAAAGACGGATATGACAACAGAAGATATCCAGGAAATTCAATTGGAAATACACACACGCTAATAGTTCCAGAAATTAACCCCTACAGTACAACTGTTTACATAAGGAAAAAACCATATGGATGTCAGCATAGGAAGAGTTCTGTCTAGAAGGCAACGCTAAGATATATCAAAGAATTCACACAGACTTCTGTTTTTTCAGAGGACAATACAAAGTCCTTTTGAATGAAGTCATACCCTTTTAGATAATTCATGCATCAGTCTGTTAATGTGTTCAACAATAAGTTTCATTTTTCTTTAAGGAACACAGCTAGTCCAAATTTTCTGAACTTCCCTTTCACCTAAGAGGGATTTGTGATAGGCTGCTGGAATGTGAATGCCTGTGATGTATGCTGTAACCAGATCTTACAAATCAGAGGTCTTCCTGAGAAGCTTCCAGGGACCTGTAAAAATAAAATGAATGATTTCTGGGTTGTCATGCCTTAATGTGGCATAGCCCAAGGTTAGAAAGTCCAGCATGCCTGAATAAATTGATAAGAGAGAAGTTGTCTTCCATATCTTTGCTGGTGAAAAATATTTTGAGCAAAAATTAGACTTTATTCTATTGAACTTTTGCATGTCTTGATGTATTTGTTTCTACATCTAGTTTAGCTCTCACCCTGTTAGGAAGGCAGAATATGGGTATGTAAACCAAGTCTAAGTCAGCCAGAGGACACCAGCATCATCAGAAGACTACTGGGTTGAGGAGTCTCTCAAGGATGATGAGAGAATTCATACAAAAGTCATCCTTTCCATATAATGAAGTAGATGGTATCACTTGGTACAGTGTTTTAGATGAACCTAAAGTGTTGGGAGAGGAATTTTTGTTGGTTGATTTGGGTTGAATGGTGAGCAGCCACCATACAGCTCAAAGGAACTATTTCTTGTTGAATGGCATAAAACTACTTCCTTCAGTCCTATACCACAGCCACAGCTTCTTTAAAGAGTAAGGTTTCCTTATCAGGGCTGGAAACTTGAGTATGCTAGGGTGATGTCTGGGAAGGGAAAAGACTCAAATGTTTATGGCTTTATTGGATACAAGTGCCCAAGTCAACAACTTGCCAATTCTGATGGAGGTAGGGGCTCCTAGATTTAGCTAATGTGGTTCAGAAGGGAAACAAAAGTAACTTGGTGGATGGAACTGTTTAGGTCAGTGCAATCAATATACTGTGGTTACTTCTATATCTCAAAGTGTAGTAGTGCTGGGGATGTAGCACAGTGATAAGGTGCTTGCCTAGCATGTGTGAGACCCTTGGTTCAATCCCCATTGCCAAAAAAAAAAAAACAGTAAGAATCAATATGGTATATGCTCTATTTCCCACAAGTCATACAAGGAATTCTCCCAGTCAGGAAGAATGGAATGTGAAGAAGAAAATCAGCTCTTAGCTTACTCTTGGGCTCTTTTACACAGTGGAAACCTTTGGCTTCAGTAGAGGCCTCTGCCTTAAATTCCAGTTTTGGGGTATGTCATCTTGGATTCAACAACTAACAAAATGAAGATAGCCCAGCAAGCCTCAACTAGCAGAATGAAAACTGTTGAAACTGCAGATTCATAGGTCCACAGTGTCTTAGCTGTACATGAAACAATAGCAGGCTTTTGTTAAAAGAGAAATTTATCTCCTACTTTGTTACCTGAAACAAAATTTCTGGCTTAGTAGGACCCTCAGTTTGTGGAGGTCAATCTAACTGGGCCTTGTTGGCTAACTTGAAAGCACTAGAATGCTGTATCTGCTTAAATTTGTCTTCATATACTCCAAAATGAAAGTGGTCACTCCTCAGTGAACAGATCACAAGGATTTCTCAACACTATCCAGTATTTCATTTCATAAACCGTGGCCTTACTCTTGGGCTTTTTTACACAGTGCATTCTGATTGACCCTTGAGCTCTTGCTGTGGCCTAGCTATTATAAATTCCAATTAGAAACTATATACAGATTAAAGGCCCTCTGTGGTGTTCTGAACTGTGGGAGAAAACAGCTGCCGAGCACCCACAGTGTGCTTCACTAGATGCCCATGATTAAACTGTTCTCTAGTGACGCTCAAGTGGAAGCAAGCTGCCGATCCAGTGCTCTCTCTTCAGATGTTGCCACCTGTGTCCATCATTGTGCTGGTATGTGAAAACATTCTGTGTCTCCACTGGGCACAAAAGTCTGTATATATCCCACATCTCTATAGGTGTCATTTGATGTAAGGATTTACCCATTTTTTCCTTCTGAATGAATAGACAATATTCCGTATACCATTTGGTTAGATAACATCTTTCTCACTGATTTTTTTCTTTTTCAAAAAAATTTATTTTTATTTATATATGACAGCAGAATGCATTACAGTTCTTATTACACATATAGAGCACAATTTTTCATATCTCTATACAAAGTATATTCACACCAATTCGTGTCTTCATACATGTACTTTGGATAATAATGACCATCACATTCCACCATGATTTCTAACCCCCTGCCTCCTCCCTTCCCCTCCCACCCCTCTGCCCTATCTAGAGTTCATCTATTCCTCCTATACTCCCCCTCCCTACCCCACTATGAATCAGTCTTCTTATATCAAAGAAAACACTCAGCATTTGGTTTCTTGGGATTGGCTGACTTCACTTAGCATTATCTCCTCCAACTTCCTCCATTTACCTGTGAAATGCCATGATTTTTTATGTCTTCACATATGAAATTGTTAGTTGTAAAGATATTGCATGTTTATCACCCTTACATTTGGTTTATCATTCCCTGTATTCTGTTATTTCAGTAAGATATCTTGTTCGAACTGGGATGGCACATACCTCATGAGCCAGAATACCCAATATTTCTGGTCTGATACTGAAGAATATTTGAATCAAGTTTGAAAAATGAGAATTCTAGGACTTTAGAAATGGACATCATTGACCTGTGATATTGTGACGGAGTGGCCAGCAGCCTTGCCAAGGAAATGCATCTGCAAAATAAGATAAGGTTACACATGAAGAGAAGCAGACAGGACAGGGAGACTGGTAGGTAGAGCTATAGTCCCCGAGAAGCAAAATACCATGTTTGCTCTTTATAAGAGTGCTAGAAATAAGGTCTTTCATTCTTTAAACTGTTGGGTTTTGCTTAGACATTTTCTTTAAAAAGATATTTAAAATCATCTCCTTCTCTGCTCCCTTTTAAATAGAATATTTTAAGATCATGATTGGGTTTGCTGTTCAGAATTATGTACTCCCCAACCCCTAGGTGGAACTAAGTCATCCAAGTGGCCAGGTAATGAAAGTCCCATGACTGGGCACTTAGGCCTTATCTGATGTCCCTTTTACACATAACACACCACCAATTAGAGATCATGGTCTGTGTTCTCATCTTGACTCTTCCTTTCCTCTCCCTTCCTGGCTGATCTTAACAAGTTGTAGTGTTATCCCATAAGATGGGTAGGACCTCACCTAGTAAACCTAGAGATGTTTATTTCTTTGCCCACCTTATGATTTTAAAAAACCTCCATGAGGACAGGAAATTGGGGGGGGGGGGGTTATGATGTCTTATGCACATGAAACAGTCCCTTGATATATGAGACACTTGGAAATCTTTCTTGAAGATAGTTGCCAAAGGGAAATATGAACCTCTTTGATACTGTAAATTCTTTTTCATTAATTATTTTTTAAAAAAGTGTTACAATAAGGTCTGCATTCAACAACTTCTGTTTTAGATATTTTCTGCATTTACTAAATTAAAATTGGTTTTAGTATTCAGAACTAAGAGTACTATTCTGATCTTTGTTGCACAAAACTTTTTAGTGAACTTAAAGATTCCCAATTCAAAGGTTTTTTTCTCTATATCAATCAGTTTATTATTATTATTACAATTATTATTAGCAGAATAGACTACAGTCTTCTTTATTTAGTTCGCTTTCACACAAATATTTTAGAGAGGTATACAAGCAATTTTGCAAAACAATTATAAAGGCAAAATCATACTTTCTAAGGTCAACCAAATCGATTAGGGGGAAAAAAAAAACCTGCTGGAAATTATCCCGTTAGTCCATTTTAACAGTAGTTCCCTCATTTTTACTTCTCAAATCATTGCCCTAAATGGTGAAAAGTTTTTATTTTTCAATTTTCTCAAGTTGGAGATTAACTCTTCAGAGAGAAGTCTGACCAGAAGAAGGGCCATAACATTTGGCCTGCTTTCCTTTTTATCTCCTATAGTTTCTCATATTGAATGTCTCCTGTAGACCAGAAGGAATTTTTTTCTCTCCACCCACCACAGCAGCTTTAGACATTTTTTTTTATTAGCGACACATGACATTACAATGATCTTGGCAATTCATACAATTGAATCATTGGGGTATAATTTCTCATTTTTCTAATAGTACAGATTGCAGAATCACACTGGTCATAGAGTCACCTATATACATATAGCAATCATGATGTCTATTCTGCTGCCCTTCCTGTCCCCCTACTCCTCCCCTCCCCTCCCATCATTTCTCTCAATCTAATGTGACATACTTTTTTTTTCTTTTTCTCCTCACAAATTCATACATGTATTCTGTATAATGATGAGGGTCTCCTTCCATCTTCCGTGCAACTCCCCTTCTCCCTCCTTGTCCCTCCCTCCTCTCTTCCCTATTTAGTAGTTGTCTTCTTCTCATGTTCTTCCACCCTATCCCATTTCGAGTCACCCCCCCCCCTTATATCAGAGAAGACATTTGGCATTTGTTTTTTAGGGATTGGCTAACTTCACTTAGCATAATCTGCTCTAATGCCATCCATTTCCCTGCAAATGCCATGATCTTGTTATTTTCTAGTGCTGAGTAATGTTCCATTGTGTATAAATGTCACATTTTTTAATCCATTCATCTATTGAAGGGCATCTAGGTTGGTTCTACATTCTAGCTATTGTGAATTGTGCTGCTATAAACATTGATGTGGCTGTGTCCCTGTAGTATGCTCTTTTTAGGTCTTTTGGG